CCCCAAAACCCCAAAACCCCAAAACCCCAAAACCCCAAAACCCCATAAGCCCATAATAATTGCTATCAATAAGAGAAATTGTTCAAAATTCTTTCAAAAAATATTAAAATTAAAAGAATTATTACTGATTTAGTTGATTTCTCTTTAAGAATGTTTGTGCTTGTTAAACTTTGATAATAAGTATATTTGTTAAAATTATCAATATTCCTTACTTAGTGTAGCCCTCCTAATCAATCTATCAAATAAAATGTTCAAGTGCTGTATTAAGTCAACTGCTTCCCCTAGAAAAGATTCCAAGGCTAGAAGCAAATCAAGAAAGAGTAATAAGGTTTCTCCAAAGCCATCATCAAGTGAATTAAATTTGAGTAACCCTAGAAAGAGAAGAGTAGATCCAAAGACAGTCATTTAAAACCATTTCAATATAGTAATAAATAAAGTTTAAGACATCTAAGTTCAAACTCCTGCAGATGAGGAAACTAATCTTACAAACACTTAGGATATCAAAAATCCTAGTTAACAAGTCAGCAGCTTCTAGCCCACAGTAAATAACATGATGAAGCAAATTATAGAGACATACTAGATTCCTGCGAACATGAGATAAAATAATTAATCCAATATAGACAAGTTACTTGGCCCTAAAAACGTGGTATTTAGAATAATGAAAAGAAAAGAATATCGCTTAAATAGAAAAAATCACAAGGGATCTATAGACAAAGATGAGATTAATAACTTGATAGATGAGCTGATGAATATGGATGATTAGCAGGTAGTTTAAAGACTGAACAATATTAATAGCAGGAAGCTATCAAGTACGATTCTTGATGAGCTATCTGAACCTTAATAAGTAATATAGAGCCCTTAGATTAAAAGTGAAAGGCCAGTCTTAGCGAAAGTAAAATCAAAGTTTCAGAGTATGGATATCAAAAGAGATTTGACCCCTAGATTCCATGCTGATATTATCCAAACATAATAATTAAATATGAACAAACCTCTAACTTAAATGAGTTCTCCTAATGTTTTGGAGTTACTATCACCTACTTTATATCCATAGTCCAGAGATACTCTAACTCCTTCAACATTGTGTCAGAGTCCTAACGATACAATAGATGTGAAAAGGTAGCCTAAAAATTAGGAATTTTAATTAAAGATGTAAGGCTTATAACTTCCAAACTGAAAGACCGTATATATCCCATTATTCATATTATTCTAGTCCAATATCAAGCAGCAAAGTTTGAGTTATATCAAACATTTTAAATAAGTATAATAAACATATTTATTTATCGAATTATTCTCGGTTACTTTTTCCTGATGGGGTTTTGGGGTTTTGGGGTTTTGGGG